CTTCTCTTCCTTCCCTCCCTTCCCCTTCCCCCCCCCCCCCCCCCCCCCACCTCACACACACACACAATAAATAAATATTTGATTAATTAAGGTGGCATGTAAATGGTGATACGCTTTTCAGTATATTCATAAACCAATTATGAATGTTATTCTTATTATGAAACAACATTTCTTAATTTTTTTTCTTGATTCCACTCTTAACTTTTCAGTCTAGGTATTTTTATACTCTTGCCTTATCCTTTACTTTAATCTTTTCTTTTTTGCATGTGCTATAGGTCCTTATTTCTTTCTCCACCCCTCATGGCATTTGGAAAAATCCAAAGATGCAAAGTAGAAGGAAATATTCTAAAAGGAATCACCATCACCCCCAGACGTTATTATCGCACCTCTAGTCCACTCCTAGTTATGTCTGGTTTAACTAAACACTTTAGGTCATCCTCGCTTTCCTGCACGGTTCGTCGCTCGTTAACCAGTACCCAACACTTTCTTAAGCATCAACAGGAGAACCACCCAATCTCCAGTTCCCTTGTTTCCACCGCGAAGCGATTTCTCGTGATCGAAACGAGCGAGACCCCAAACCCTGAATGTCTGCGTTTTTTTTCCATGTACCTGTCATTTCTAAAGCCCGGGTTTTCTATCGACCTCCCCTCCAAGGACCACGAGGCGAAGTCGCCCTTGGCCGCCGAGTTGTTCCAGATCGACGGGGTCGACGCGATTTTCATCTCCGACGAGTACATCACCGTCCGCAAGTCTCCGGAGAAGGAGTGGGAGACGCTCATCCCTCGCATTCAGGACGGCATTCGGCGCTTTGCCGACAGCGGCGCGGAGACCCTGTCGAGTGAGGGCCAGGAGTCCCTGGCGGGCTACAACGACGATACGGAGCCCAGCGATGACGACGACGAGGTCGTCCTCGCGGTGAAGGAGCTCCTGGCGACGCGCATTCGCCCGATGCTGCGGGCGGACGGTGGGAATGTGCGCTATATCGACATGGACGACGGGACCGTGTATTTGCTGCTGGAGGGTGCGTGCAAGGCCTGCCCCTCGTCCCACCTTACGTTGAAAGGAGGTATTGAACGGATGCTAATGCACTGGATTCCTGAAGTTGTGGAGACCCAGGAAGTGAGCGATGAGGTAGCGGAAGATATTCTCGCCGAGAAGCGTCTTCGAAAAAAGTTGAAGGAAACTAACCAGTTGGTGAATGCCCATTAGGTGATGCGTACATGAACTGCTCTGGAAAAATAAATTTTGCAACTACAAGGAGCGATTATTAATGGACTAAGATATTTGCTTGAATAGCCACATATAAGCGACATTACGATTAAAACAAACCCATATGCTTTTTTTTTTTCAGTCTTAAAGGTAAGAGATCATTTCTTTTCTCCGATCTCGGATTAGTGCGGTATAATTTAAATACAGGAACTCTATCTCATATTTAATTGACTGTTACAACCGCCCATCCGCCTGCATATCGCGCAATTGTCACATTTTTAAAAATATTTGAAACAGTTGACTCGTATAAAGGAGAGAGCAAAAACGAGTTATATGATCTGAGTCTAGAGTCTTGAAAGTCTATAAAAAAAAAAACGTGCTTTTCTTTCAGTTAAGATGCTTTATAGTTGTTTGGGTGTGTCACTTGTCAAGAACGCAAAACTGCAAACTGGCAACACTTATGGTGTTTGGTTTTCGGTAGCAGTATTCCCATAGCAAATGGGTCCGGCTATTTGATGGCGTATCATGTTTGAAAAAAGGTTTCGCAAATGTGTACAGACATAAATTCATCCACTTAATGCTAGGGAAACCGGCAGAATTTACTTGTTCGATTGTTGTTGTGGATGTTCTTCATCCATTACACCTTTTCCCTTTTAGGTAAATTTTTGACATACTTTGTTGCATATTCTATATGTCATTTTATAAACTGCAGGTATTGAGAATGTTAAAAATTTAATCATGAATAATTTACAATATTTCCATAAACCTATAAATACTATTTGTGTACGTATGTGTACGAATATGAAGGTGGAGATGACAATATAAACTAGATTCTGCCGGCTATCTGTCATGACTCAGCTTGAATTTATGCGTATCGTTACGCATGCTCTGCTCGAACTTATATTTCCTTAGTGGATAATATTAATAGTTAGGATGAGTTTATTCTCATCAAGATTATTATGTTTAATGACTTCACTATTAATGTCAATTTTTTCTTTACGGTTTTTTTCTTGAAGAATCGATAAAAAGAAATGCCGAGCGTTCCTGCCCCTGAGTCCGCAATCAAGCGCGCTGCCTTCAAGCAGCAGCAGACCGAGAACTTCAAGAAGGCCATCACAGCCGCGAAGCTTGCCAAGGCCTCGCTAAGGAAGCTTGCCTACCAACGCGGTATGCGGTACTCCCGTGAATACCGTGGGGCCGAGAAGAAGTTGGTGAC